TTCCGATCACTCAATAACTAATACAATTTGTTTATTGACAGATTTATGAGTAGTTGTTTCATTAAGCTTAAGCGAATTTCGTTGCGTCCGAGAAAGATTAAATTATGGATAATCTCTGTGAACTATTTATAGACTGTTATTACATCTATATATTCTTGCTGTATAACTATTAAGTAACTAGATAATATATATTTATATTTCTTTTATTATAACCTTTCATTTGATCTATTGGCTACTATTATACGACTTGCTATTCTTAAGTTATCCCCAGTCTATTAGTTACAGTATCTCACACGCATAGCCACTTATGGTCTGATCTTGTGTAATTATTATTTTTCATGTTATGGTGTGATATGGTTTTTTCTTCTTGTATATCAACCAAAAATGTCTGAAATATACGATACATAGAGTGAAATTTCGAGATTGTGCTATGAACTCAAATGGACAGGGCAAAGTAAGAGAAACCAATAAGGACTATGAGTTGACTCTAGGCTACTTACACTGTTTAACGCATCAATGATTTGGCACAGTGCCAATGTCATATAAGTTGGTGTTTTTAATTGATGATTTAGTCATATGATATTTGATGGGACTTAGGAAATGACACATTTCATGATATATCGATCAACACATAATTCTGAGATTTTAGATAAGCATAAATTACCATTTACTCTTAATTTTTATTAGTGACATCGAATATTTTTCATAAACATATCCAACTTCATCTAAATATCATTCACAAGTAAAATGATCAATCAATTCAAACATTGCACAATAGTTCTTATTAGTTACCACAGCAAATAATATACTAACTTAGGTATTGATGTTGTGTAAAATCAAATTATCAAAATGGTACATACTCTTCTATACTAAAAACATTGAATAATATTGTTTCGAATCTAAAATTTATGCTACATTGTCCTTGAATGAAGAAAAAAAATACAATCCAGCTAGTGTTAATTTCCAATTAAACATTTAATAGTCCAGTAGATTAATCTACAAATTAGAATAATCCATGACATATCATATTTCATTCCACAACTATATAGAAATGTTTATATGTTTTGTGTTTTTCATTAGTTTTTTTAATAAGATACTAAGAGATGAAATAGAAAACCTAAAGAAAATACAAATTAATTGTGAATAAATCACTCATTATATTTTTATAAATGAAAATTATGGAATCTGTAATAATACTGTGGCGTAGGTTACTTATATCCACATGAGTAGTATATAACGTGATCAGGCGTAGAATGTATTTCAGTAGAAGGTCGATGAGAAAAGAACGGGACTGGAACGTAAGTGGTATGAAAACGTATGAACAATCAAATTAGAGACAATGGATTGATGTTTGCAACAGGAATAGCCAAGTTTGAAATGATGGATTGATATTTTGCAAATTAACGATTTACTACATGGTTCTCAGATTTTATTCAGATGCTCTGTAATTTTATGCTCAAACACATTCGATTGTCCCCACTTGTGTTCTGTTCACTACAATACTACTGATTACGTCACATTTAATTTTGGTGTAGACATTAACTGTTATCAGTTGAAGTACAATCAATTTGAAATAGAATTAAAGAAATATTTGTAAATTATCGATGATTGTTTTGTATAATGTGTTTGAATTTAGGTAAGTTTTGTTAGATATCTCAGATATCCGGTTTTCGTTTCGTGATGTTGACAGTAATTGTCTATGGTATTATAATATATATACAAGAATTGAGTTAAATATAACTGAAAATAAGATGAAATTCATCGTTTAAACAATTCAATTTGTATTACTATTAATAAAGTAGTTATTAATAGATACTTGACAATACGAAAGAAATGTTCATCTCTGATCAATGTCAACTACATAATCAAAGAACAGTGGGTGGCTGGTTAATCTTACTCTCTGACTTCATACTGACATCATTAGCTGGTTTCTGACCTAGGATCCTGTGGCCCTTTGAAGACCACCATAGATTTGAACGATTGAATCAAACGTTTATAATTTCTGTCTCTAACTATGATTAAAATATGATGTAGAACAATCCTCACTCTATACTACTGGTGTCATTTTGACAAAGTAGCTCTAAATTTTATTGCTTTGCATAGGATATTGAAACGAATCCTCACAAAATAAATCAATATTATTTATAATATTCATTTACTAGACAATTTGGGATCGTGGACGCGCACTGCTGAGGAGTCCCACAATAGGACGAAACGGCCGTCCAGTGCTTCCAGGTTTCAAAGGTGGTCTAACATCATTATCTCAATCAAAAACTTAATAATCTCTACAACTCTATACTGAAAATAACTGTTTGCTAGTCTTACACTTGATTATAAAAACATTTCAGTAGTTAGGAAAAAACTTAGTAAATTGTTTGTCTAGTTTCATATATGATATTTACGAGTGGTATTTTATGTAAATAATTTCACTGTGATCATTCTGTGAATTGTTTTCTTAAATTCCGAATCAAGTCATTACCAAATAATTTAATGAAGCTAACTTAATTTTTTATTCAAGTATTGGGCTGAAATTCTAAGGTTATTTATTTCTCCTTCATATCTCACTAACGAATACATGAAATTTCTTGTAGTGTGAATAGTATCGTATACACTTAAAGGCACTTTAGTTCTGTTGGGCACAGATATAACACAGAGAATAATTTATAATTGAGTTAGAAAGTATGACATAATAGACTTAGATTTCTATATTTAACTACTTTTGATTTGTAAACATTATCAATATGTAATATAGGAAACAATCTACTTTGGAAATGTTTCATAAGCATGTTGAGTTAAATATAAATTTCTAACCAACTAAGCATACAGAAACATTATTTCCGCGATCGCTTTAAAAAGTAATCATGTGCTTATAGCCTAAGGGTTCAGTGGTATTAACAATATCTGTAAATCATTGAATTGGAATTTCCCGTAAGCTCATGATGAAATCTACTCAGAACAAAGCATATCAACGAAACTACTTTAATGAATAATAGTCATATATCTACTAGCAAAAAAAGTCGTAATGAATTTTCTAATCTTCTGACAGAAAAACCTAACCTTCATAGCTTTGATTTTGAATGAGTTTTGTTACAATTTAATCAGTTCTATAAATTGTTTGAGTTATCAGAATATTAACTGCTCGATTTTAACCCAGGTCCTTAGATGATTTGTGGTTGTTGTAAAGATCATTAGATCAATAGTGTCATAAATTATTTGGTCAAGAGTAATTAAATGCTTCCTACCTATTCAGTAGTTATCATCAAGTTGATTTTATATTGTATAAAGATTCATCACAGTTTCTTTTTATTTAGAAATTATTATTATTGAATTTATTATAAATATCATGGATACATATTGTTAACCATTGAGATTTTTGAACTTAAGTAGATCTACATGATACGCTGACACAAACTATATTATCGAATTTTCGTTATAATTGTATTCTGTATCTTTTCTAAAACTAATAAATATATAGATCCATACATGAGACTATAAATGTTATAAACATGGATGACCATTTGTTTAATGATTAAAAGTGAACAATGAAATATTCTCAGAATGGGTTTTGTGGAGATTTTTTTAGAAATTTCACAGGTTGAAATCATGAGTCAATGGAAGCTAGATCACCATGAAAAACCCGGAAGAACTGGACGGCCGTTTCGTCCTAGTACAGGACTCCTCAACAGCGCGCATCCACGATCCCACACCCCGCGGGATTCGAACCCAGGACCTACTGGTTTCGGGCGCGAGCACTTAGTCACTAGACCACTGAGCCGGCATTCCTTTAATAATAAAAGAAACAGGTAAAATTGAACTGTAATCAAAACATTCCAATGATAATTTTACATTGCATCAGTCATATCATTATCTATTTTACTCAAACTTATATAAAGTTTAGTATCAGCGTAGTAGGCTATGAATAAACAGGATAAACTAATTTCATCATGATGACAGAATTGGTAAACTATTCATGTACATTTACATAGGTACATGAGAAGAATTAAAATATGGATTAAATCATTTATTCATATTAATTTCAGATTCCAAAATTAAGTCAGTAAACATATGTTTAATAAATAAGAAATTATCATGAGCTAACATCCATATGTGAATACAAATAAAGCGGTAAAACCTTTAACAAAATGAATAGAATTCTATGATGTTTACATCAGATTAGTAGTAAATGTATTTACATTATTGTAAGTCTCATCTTCGTCATATATTATTGTCTTAGTATTCACTTACGCCTGTTACTCTTCATAGAGAAACAATGTCCGCTCACCAATATTCTTCATCCAAATCTGTATTGCTCAATCCTTTACACTTCTTTCTAGTTATTATTTATTCTTATCGTATCTGCTTCCAATTCCCGACACAGTGTGTTCTTTGGTCTTCCTCTTTTTTGTCTCCCTTCAAAATTCCAAGTTATGGCTTGACATGTGATGCAGTTTGATGATTTCCTCAATGTGCGTCCTATCCACTTCCATCGTTTTTTCCTAATTTCCTCTTCAACCGTAAGTTGGTTTGTTCTCTCCCACAGTACGTTGTTGTTGATGGTATCCGGCCAACGGACACTTAGTATCTCACGTAGACAATTGTTTATAAATACTACTTACTACTATTACTTCAATCTATATTTATATAGTATGAAATTGTTTAATTCCTATTAAATACAATTTACCTGTATGTTTATATTCTTAATGATTGTCAAATTTTCCATTTTATATTTCTTGGTTTCATATAATGTTGTTGCATATACTACATAAACTACTGTTTTCACTAGAAGAATAACTTACAATCTTTAAACACCATCAAATTCAATGACTATTGCCACTGTGTAGACAATTAGAATAATTTAATATTCTCCAGAGTAAATTTTAATAAAAGATTGAAACTCTGAGAAAAATGTCTATCATATATCATAATTACAAGAAATGGATTCACATTGAATTAAGTAAACACCTAAAAAATGTTCTCCTTTTTTCATTTTACCTTTACAGATACTTCAAATTCAAATCGAAAACAATTGGCCAGCGGTATTACTACATTGAATAATAATAATAAAATTATTCCAACAAATGTTGATAATGTCAGTGCTACAATTATTACTACAACTAATAATAATACTGATAATGTAACAAGTAATATCAATAACAATCATGTTAATAGTTATGAAAGTTGTTATTCGCAACATAAAAGACAAGTAAGCTTAGAAATTGAATAAGAATTCATTATTGTTTCTATGATCATTTTATCAGATATTAAATATACAGAATAATTTGTTTAGCTTTTCAATAAATCACTTTAGCTATACAATTTACATTAAGATTTTATATAATTTGAAGTACATTATTTGTATCCTATGATTCAATATTATAAGTTGGAGCCTTACTTGTTTCTATGCTACATTATTTGTACAATTGAATAAAAGAAATTATAAGTGACCTAAAATAAGAGGGCCGCATTCCTACAATTCAAGAACATATGGAACTCAAAACAACTTTCAACCAATATCAAAGTCATAATCTTCAATACGAACCTCAAGGCAGTTCTACCGTACGGAGATGAAACTTGTAGAACTAATACAACCATCATCAAGAAGGTACAAGTATTTATAAATAGTTGTCTACGCAAGATATTCATCATCCATTGGCCAGATACTATCAGCACCAGCCTACTGTGGGATAGAACATACTAGCTTCCAGCTGAAGAGGAAATTAGGAAAAGACAACGGAAATGGATAGGACATATATTAAGAAAATCATCAAACTGCATCACGAGGCAAGCCCTAACTTGGAATCCTGAAAAGAAACAGAAGAGGAGAATGCCGAAGAACACATTACGTCAGGAAATAGGAGATATGAAAAGGATGAATAATAACTGGGAAGAGCTGGAAAGGACTGCCCAGGATAGGGTTGGATGGAGAATGCTGGTGGATGGCCTATGCTTTTTCACGAGGAGTAACAGGCGGAAGATATTAAATAAGAATAAGAGGATTTGATTACTAATCCCAATACGATGTTAAATAGGATAATATACAGTAGATATTTTTTAATAATAAGTAATCAGAATATGAGAAATATGATTCATCTCAACATTTAAATAATATCATAAGAAAACAGTATGAAGAATCTATTGACTTATGTTGTTTCTTCAACGATTCAATGTTAAATATCAAATGATAAATTGTTGGCATGACATAAGTTGATGATTTTATGGATACTGAAATCTAGAGTGTAAATGTTATTACAAAAGAAAATAATGTCAGTTAAGGGAATAGTGAAAATCAGCCTTCACTGAACATCTGTTTTTGTTTCAGTTTATTACATTTTTGCTTTGTGTGCTTATAGCCACACAATGATACGAGTCTAGATTAAATGTGGAGTTTCCTAAAGTTTTAGTTATGCACCATGGGTAAACGCTCAAATATGTATAATCGATAACACTGGTTAGAAAGTAAGCGAGATTACGAATTGACTTGATCTAAGAGATTTAGCATACCCTTCAAGAAATCAAAATGTCTTGAGTTCTAACTTTTGTCAAGTTGTAAGTGAACAAAAGAGCAGTTCGGTGTTTTTTTCTTAATAATCAGTCGTAATTCGTAAGTGTGTAAAGCGACCGCTAAATTGTTCAGGAAAACACATTTCTATCAGTTTATCACATGTTAAGAAACACCATTCGACTCCTTCCATTTCAGCAGCTACTAACTTTGACTATTCCTAACACAAACGCTGTACCCTAAATTAGAGCTTACAAGTCAGCACTTTTTAAATGAGTCACATAAGTTTAAAATGCTAGAAAAAGTGCTGAAACAAAATACCATTAGAAAGACAAATTCGGAAATATGAGTCATCGATTTTTAAACCAGTGGTTTAAAGGTTAATTTCTCGTTGCGAGACCTAGAGATCTTGATATATGTCATTGACGAGATAAAAACAGTCAACTAGTGCCCTCTACTTTCTACCCATGTTGTCACCACTTCATGGCCAATATCATCTACAATGTTAAATAGTCTTCATAAAACCTCCCAGGTAGACGATAAATTTAACTGTTTAGAGAAGGTGAAGTGTAACATCTTAAGACACTGATTTAATTTCATAAATGTAAAAAGACATTTCCAAATGAAAGAAAACTTCGTTGAAATATGGTAAGTTTAACTATATAGGTCTTTTTATAGGTGAAAATGTAATTACCAATCTCCAAATCCTGGCTTTATCTCATCGTCACCTGAACACATTATTTGTATTATAGATAAACATAAACTAGTTTGAAATATTAGCTCCAAAAATGTTCTGTATAAAACTTTTTCGGTTTACATTTACAAGCAATCATCAGAACGTGATGTGTCCAACTATAATGTTACAAAAGCTTATTCATGTTCAAAAAATATCGAAGAATTTCTTAGGAGAAGATCGTTATCCTCTAATTCAGCAAATGCATCCAATCAGATGGTCAGAAGTCAGAGTTTATATGCTTACCTTTCTATGCGTAATGAATCAGCAAATAATGTGGCTAAAACTAGCGCAAACACATTTTCAATAAAACCAGACGATAGTCATAATATAGTTGACTTACAAGCGAAGCTACCTCTCAAACAACTGGCTGTTACTACTTCTACTACTCTCAATAATAATAGTAATCACAGACAAAGTGATAATTATTCCGAATATTCTATCGCTCAAAGATCAGTTTGTTCCTCTGTGTATGGAGCGGAGAGTGCAAATTCTCCAAATTTATCAACAGAGCTTCATCTACCTTCTAATAGAAGAAGTATGTCACCAAGATCTCAAAAATCTTCAAATCAATTGGAAACTAACGGAGTTGTAGATAAACATCAGTCCAACAAAGTAAATGTAAGTAATGGTGCTTTTTTAAAGCAGTGTCAGTAAAATTATATGAATGTTTAAAAGATAAGCAAAATATGTTAGGCTACACTAGGAGATAACAAGATCGAAGCGTATATGCTAGTTTGAAATAAAACATTTTAAAACTTAATGTGATCTTGACTACTTTTTTCTCATTTTCCAGTCTATCCACATCTAGATTCATATATTTTTTTCTTTTTATTTGTAACTGACCAGACGGCCATTTTTTCTCATTTAGCGCTGTAGTTGTCAGTTTTAACATCACAAATCAAAGAAACAGTTAACATTATAAATAAAATCTAAGTCTGAAATTCTGTGCTTGCGTTGGAAAAAAAGTTTAGAAGACTTTTTCCATATAATTAGGTATAACCATTTTGTTGTACATAGTTCATTACTAAAACTATCAATTTTACCAAAGGTATTCTACAAATCAGTTTATAAATCCTGTGACTTATTAAGTCTGTTTTATAAATATGCACATTTAGACGTCTAAAACTTAAGTTAAAAAAATTTGGGCTACATAGATCTTATTATTTCCTTAATAATCATTTATGACAGTGTATTTGTTCAGTCGTAACATCTACTGTCCTCAAAAGTCATATGTTTTAACCACTTTGTGGTTTGTATGTCCTGTTGTGTCTACATTGTTCCAGTGCCAACTTCATGTTTAGTTTGAATTTACTTTCATCAGTTAAAAAATCTACTGTATATCACGGACGAAGATATAGGAGGAGAGTAATCACTAATATAACAAATGTATAATCTATTAAACTCACTTAGGTATGAAATGTATAAACCTATATAACATAACTTTAAACATGTTACATGAATGATTTATTCGCATTTGAGAAAATAGTAATTCTTATGGAAATGAGTCTTCACAAAGTGTCATTAAGATTGATCAAGTTCAAAGTATCTGGAATCATCTGACTTTGATCTTAGAGTAGACGAAGGAGAGGTATTATGAAGAACAAACTGACTTCAAAGATATAATTATACATTAACTAAAGAATATTTTTATGGTTAGAGACAATATTTGGTTTTCAAATTAATCTATGCTGTTGATTAATAAGATAAAAGAAAAGCACAGACATGTTGCGTAGATTAACACTTCAAATTTATTTCAGACTCTGAATGTGTAAACGATTTAAAGTTCCCTTTAAGTTTCAAATGAGAGTCAATGAATAATTATTGAGAATTTTTTTCAAAAAATAAATTAGTAATCATAGATGTAAATACCACTGACGACTTGTAGATCTTTTTGTAAGTTCCATGCTGAACTGTTGTCAAATAATAAATCGACAGAAATCTCTCTTTAAAATTCCTTTTATTCATATACATAAGGTTAGAATAATGTGCAGTTTAATATGATACTCATAGAATAGGCTCAACAGTCAGGTTCTAATGAACTGAGTAATGATTGATCTACAAGCTAATTTCCATTAATCACCTATGCTATTAGGTCATGTTTATTTTGTTTTCATATTTGGTATTTAAACAAGTTATTTTCTACATGAAAAAGCCTATTCACATCAGGTTAATATTCTTACTTCTAATTTCTTATCATTCAGGTGCCTAAGTCAAAAAAGCATCACTCAGTCACATCATACTCTTGTGTTTCATCTATAGCTAAACATTTTATTCACTAGTTTTTTCTTAACAGTAGAAAATTTCATCTCATTAAATCATCCCCAAAATCTCGTTCATAACAATTCACAGTCACGCAATGTTGTAAACTTTATATTTTAAGAAAATTGAACTCAAATTTATAAGAATAGTCTAAACTAATTATTTGTTTTCTACAAAATCTAGTTATATTAAGAAATGTTATTTTTTAATAAGTAAAAGCTACTGATTTCGAAAAGGAAAACAACTGATGACAATGAATCAACAAAGAACTGTTCTGTCCTTCTTCTAAACAATCTAAAATAGTACACTTACATAGTCATCATTACTCGATCTCTCTTAAAATATATTCAAGAACTGTCATGTTACAAAACATTGTGATATCATCCGTTGTCTATGTGGACAATTTGTTGTAACTTGATAGGTTTTCATAAGATAATTGTATGAACGAAGGATATTCTTTTCAATGAATTTCTCATCAGGTTCTACAATTATAAATTCAAATTAAGAATCCATAAAATTGGCCAGATTTAAGGCAGAGTACATCATTTGGCAATTGTAATATATGAATTGAGAATTGTTGTTTGTTATATGAAATCAATTCAGATTGTTAATGTTGGGGCTGTTTAATATAAAGTGTTAACTTGAATCAGTTTATAAGCGAAATGATATTGTGCGATAAATGATCAGAATAAATATGGCCAACATGGGGTGAGAGAGAAAATAAAGGGATAAAAATCAGAAATTACGTAATGTGTAGAATAATATGAGTTAGGTCAGATATAGTAGATTTAAGAGTGAATATTCAGTAAATTCCTCAAAAGGTTATCAAGTGTAAAGATAATAATAATAATAAGTTTGGTACATAAAATGAACATTGATCAGATTACGTCACCATATTATAAAATTAATTATTAACTAGTTGACCCCAAAGTTGGCCAGGCTAAAAGGAGTGACTGAACATGGTTCTTTTGGATGCAAAGATCTAACGGAATTAGGTAGACTTCTGTTAACACGATAGATTATTTGAAAAGATTGCTCCATGTTGGTTGTATGTCCTGTTTGAATTAAATGATCTAAGATGGAGCTGTTAACAGTTTTGACTACACCTTTGCTTAACCACACGGGTAGGTGCTCACGAGCCCGAATGTAAAAGTTCCTAGAACATCTGTCAATATAACTTGCTCCACAGGAGCAGTTGAATTGATAGATATAGAAGTAGGTGGCTAGTCTAGGTAACTTATCTTTCAACCTTGGAGTGATCATTAGTCGTGTGGAGAATATTAGTTGTAGTTTACCGCATTAAAAGTGTTTTGAATTGATCTGCTTAACTTAAGTCTTAGCATTTCACTCGGCGCGTCACCTCTGAATTGTAAACGTATATACAGAAACTTTTTATTTACCGTTGGGCATTTTCTATGGTGTCTTTTATTGGCTATGTTTTTATTTATGAATTTCTCGGGTTATCCATTTTCCTTCAGGGTTATGTATAATGACTTTGTTTCATCTTCAATTGTATCCACAGACCATAAAGTCTTGATTCTATGATGCAGTGTCTTAATAAGATTCCTTTTGTGTTGTAGAGGGGCAAAAGATACTTACGTCCAGTTAACATTAAATCCAGTTCAAAAGTTTTCTAACGATACTCATGTAGGATCTATACATTTGACATTATATTCTATATCTTCATCTAAACGCTCATATTTAATGTTTTATTCTAAAGTTCATGTTAGAATTCTGTATAATAAACAATTATTAATTTATGATAGTTACTCTTTCACGTGATTCTTATATGAATAACTTCTAACTTTTAATTTACATAGAAACTAAAAATGCTTATTAAATACTCTGTATATATTTGAAAATATCATGAAAGTATATATATATATATATATATATATATATATATATATATATATATATATATATATATATATATAATTATTATTATTATTATTAATGGGAACAAATAAACTAATAAACATTCTAAGCATTGTATAGTAACAATTCAAAACAACAGTAGTTGTACACGTTCGTGTTTGGCGTCATTACATTACTTAGTTTTTATCGTCAATTAATAACAATATTTTTCTACGTAAATACGTTTAATAGTAATAATAATAATAATAATAATAATTATTATTATTATTATTATTATTATTATCAATATTGTCATTATTATTATTACTATCATTGTTATTATCACTACGTTGGTTGAGAACAGTGTATGTTAATTTCAAATTTACTAAAGTGTATTGAAAATCTCATGTAGGCTGAATAAAAAGTACAAACAAAATTTCAATTTTCAGCATAGAAATGAAATATTACTGTGGTCAACTGGTCTTCTATCACAGATTTATTTCAATTCCGTTTATACTACTTATTGCTAAAAATATTATCTTTCATAAATCAGCTTGTGCAGTATAAGGGATTTGACAAGATGACACTATTACTTAATGAGTTTACTAGTCTTTTGACAGGTATATCGTACTTAAGTGACAGATGTATGAAGGTGTATTTTATATATATATATATATCCATTGTAGTTATATATACGTCTTAGAATTATAAAACGAACACCACGTGAGCTAGGTATCAGTATAATACTACTATAATACTCTCATTATCCAAACAACTACACTGGTTTTCCGTGATTGATATTAGTTATAGTACTTCGAAATGACAGGAAATCCTCAATAGATTACGAAGAATATTTCAGTAGTATACTACATTTTAAATGAAATAGATATATAATATCCTAAGTAAGTAGTTTATTTAAAGGCAAATATATAGAATTTAAAACTAAAGAAATTACATTTTTACCGGAACAGTAAACAATAAAAAACTCTTAGTCAAATGATATTTTAGAGTATTCATTAAATGTTATTCATGAAAATCTTGTTATCCATCCTTGATGCATGATTTTTTAGAAGAGTTAGTTTTGACTATAACAATATCAACACTATTCTGCATTGTTGAATTCTATCTAACTTAGATAGATATATCTATGTTTATATAAGGAGTTTGATAATTTTAGTATACAGATAAAAGATCTAGTCTGAGTTTTATGCTATTTGACATCACTGAAAAGTATATTTGAGATTTTGGGAGAATCAGTGATCCCTGTTAGACTTAAAGCGCTTTACTAAGCATCACAGTTTAATATGCTATCAACCAGTTATTCTGAATGCATATATACCCTATAAACTAAACCTAACCTATTAGATCTATAATGCAAACTACAATCTGATCGCCATTAAAACCCTATACTAGATTAGAATCAGACTGGCAATAAACTGTACCGAAGTTTATCGGTTCTTCTATAATTTCCTGTGAAACATAACGAGGTTACAAACATTCATTGAGGGAGTAATTATAACCTGTATTATATCAATATATCAATTTATTTGAAGAATACAGTCAAAGTTTTATTTTCTCTCATTTTCTCTTTTTAATATAAAGCTCACTGTACAAATCTTCCTACCAGATAGAACTAGTATCCATATCCCAGTTCATAGTACGACTACTGCATTACAAGCTTTGCAAATGTTAACTAGTACCAATCAAAAACTACTTACAATGAGACATGCTTTGGTTGAAAGAATTCCTGTTTTACACTTAGGTAAGTTTATTAGTTAATTTTAATATACAGCAGCTCTCAACTAAATAGCTAGTATTCATTGCTGATTAACTGTTTTGCTTATGTTATATTCAAATGTGAGATTAAGTAACTTAGTTATGATTCAATATAAATGGTTTTTAGTAGTTAAAATTGATACTAAGGTATCAGTTGAACGAGAGTTCTGTGATTAATGCCTTTTCTGAGCATAAAGTTTATGCATTCTTAGGAAAAATTAATGATTAGTCATAATAACAATAATAATATATTCCGAAAATAATAATTACAGAATTCATACCAGTTTATAGGCATGATGAGCTTGATATAAGTAGTAACATTATATGTAGAGAACACTCATGTGATATAAGATTGTTTTAAGTTTACTAGTTCAAAAATTGTTTAGGTAGTACATGTCCCACATGTATTACAGCGATGAAAGGCATTATCTAGGAACTTTTCATTTTTTTTAAAGTTGACATTCTGTTGATGTATGAACGGTGAATTTAAGATCATTTCTTGCTCCATAACAAATGGATAATAACCATTTATAACTACTTAAACTTTAAGTTCTTTCATGTTTAATCAAACACATAGAGATTATTTCCACATTTGCAATCACCAATGAAGTCAAAATTCACATAATGAACGAAAGAAATGATTGACAAAGCGTAACAAATAAATTAACCTTGTATAAGGTAAACATCTTAAAGATTACAAATAGTTTTTCAAGATTTTTTCAAGGGCTAGTTATAACTTACACACTAACCAAATAGTTCAAAACCTAATTGTATAAATAGATAAATGGTAGTGACTAGAAAGTATGAAATTTAGGATATTTCATTATTAAATCATACTATAAATTAAACCTTAAATATTGATTGGTACTCTATGATCGATTAATTAGAAAAAGTATTGATTTCAGATCAATTAATCATGTTAATCATAAAATTGGTTTCAATAAAATATTAAGAAGAATTTATGTGATAATTAGGAGTATTTGAATTATAGTATGAACTAAGAATCCCAGAAATAACGTAATCGGATCAAGAAGTACTAGATAACTACAAACGAATGTACTGTATTTAGAATTCGCAATCAAGCGTTCAACAAGTACAATGGAATCATAAGTTCATTCAAACACCACATCCACCACAGCTTAAATTGGAGTCTAGGTGTCTGTGATCGATTGTATGTCTTCTTCTTAAGTTCATCCTGTGTCTGTCCGACATTGTATTGGATAAAAACTATATTATCTAGAATCCACCCGTTAGTATTAGAATTAACAACGGACTCACCTGCTTCCTGGGATTGTGTAATCAGGATGTCGATTGTGTACTGAAACCGCTGCTACCTAAAATTTGAACCATAGACTTTTATACTATCCTCCCCCAAGAAATGTGCTACAATATTAACATCCTCATCATGTTCCTTGTTCATAGCCCAAATTTTGAACCTTTCAAAGTAATCCTCAAAAGCATCAAGATCTGAATGTATATCTAACCGTTCCATCACAGGCTCCATCGCGACGCCAATGTGATAATTAGGAGTATTTGAATTATAGTATGAACTAAGAATCCTAGAAATAACGTAATCGGATCAAGAAGTACTAGATAACTACAAACGAATGTACTGTATTTAGAATTCGAAATCAAGCATTTAACAAGTACAAAGGTATCATCAGTTCATTCAAACACCACAATTTCTTTTATTTCACTTTGATAAATCTTTTTACAAAAATATAATTTTAAAAATGTTAGTTTTTTTTCATCACTAAATGTCTTTAGTTAATTTATATTTGCTCTTAGCATTTGAAAGATCCTATTGTTTTATAACTTTCCAGGAAGTTAAATAAAACTGTTGGTTTTCCAAGTTAATTTATTCTTATAAAGAAGAAAGGAAAATACTTTGATTCATTACTCTAAGAAATATAGTTGCTAACATAGACTTTAACAAATATTTTACAGTATTCAGTCACGTATATGATTGTCCAATTTTAACAATTAATTGAAATATCTATGTTGGTTGCCTCAAGTATGCTTAATCTAGAGTTGTAAATCAAGCACGAATTCCATAATCTGTTACATTCATTCCTAATTTATTAGTTATTGAATTTTCCTATGTCTGCCTAGTATTTAATCGAAATTTATTTAGGTATTCATCATATCAGAGTTTCATAAACTTTAAACAATAACTTAATTATTAATCTCATGTTCTTTTATCCATTATTATTGCGGATCAATCAATTCAGATGTTTACCACACGAATGTAACCTCTATTAATCCTGCCTAATTAAATTATGTTTGTTGAAATAAGAGGAAATTTAATCTATAATGAATGTTTGTTTTTCGGTGACGCTATAAGTTATGGACGAACCATTAGGATTTAGGCGCGAAATTTATTCATCCATTTGGCTAAATAGCGTTTTGGCATTTTAGCTATCAGTTCGTAATGAAAAACCGTAAATGTAATTCCTAATCTTAACCGTCAACTGTGAATCATAATCCTTATTCTCCAAACTGCTTTATAACCCTCATATAACCCTAGTAAGTAGGTATGGGCAGAAACCTGGAGAACTAAGAAAGCAATCATCCAGAAAATACAGGTGTTTATTAACAGTTGTCTACGCAAAATACTTCGGATTCATTGGCCGGACACTATTCGCAACAACCTACTGTTGGAAAGAACAAACCAGATCCCAGTGGAGGAAGAATTCAGGAAGAAGTGCTGGAAGTGGATAGGACACACATTGAGGAAAGCACCCAACTGCATCACAAGACAAGGCCTCACATGGAATCCTCAAGGTCGAAGAAGGAGAGGAAGACCAAAGAACACATTACGGAAATAGACATGAGAAAAATGAACAAGAATTGGACGGAACTAGAAAGGAAGGCCCAGGACAGAGTAGGTTGGAGAAAGCTGGTTGGCGGCCTATGCTCCATTAGGAGTAACAGGTGTAAGTAAGTAAGTAGGTAGATCCTCTCAAGGTCACTTTTGCGTCGCTCAAAGGTTGTCCATAAATTATAGTCTCAACTTTTTTCCTACATTCAAAGAATTATCGACTTACTTGTAGAAGAATAAGATAAACTTATAATCGGATGGCGAATTCTCCAAAAAAAATCTTTAATAATATAACTTTTATTTAAAACAATCAAAGAAAACATACATCAGTGTAACTGGATATCCTTACAGAAACATCCTAGTAAATAACATCCATGTAATTTATAATAACTAGCTCTTGAATGGATTTCTCAACGTTTTTATGAAAAGCTGTAAGTTGTGAAATTAAGAAAATTGAGAATCAAACAACAATTTATCAGTTCCATTAAGTGGGAATCATGTTCTGTTACAAATAGATGGAAATGGAAGAAGTACCAATATGGCAAGGTTACAAAATTATGAACTCGATTAAATGTGATGTGGATAGAAATTACTGAGGACTCTAAAACTAAGATGGAATAGATGTCAAGTGCTATATGTTTTTTGATGGCTTTTTAGGCAATATTAATTTCTAATGAAAAATTAACCTTGAAACCATACGTTTACTGTAAATTATTATAAAATACAATTTGTAACTCGTCGATTGAATTCATTGAATGAAGGAATACAGTGAAATATACTGTAAATAGACTACTTTTTATGAACTCTCGTCTAAATGAAAGATCATTTCCTGTCAATATTTCGCTTCAATACTACGTTACACAAATAAATTAGGAATGTCGTACCACTAAATTGATGTTCAAAGGCTAATTGGAAAAACAAGTTACATCATAATTTAAACATAACCTTATCATGGTAAATATTTGACATTAAACATTATAAGAAGCAACAAACTAAATTATACAAACTTGTCAAGATGTTTCATTCAGAACAATAGTTTAATAAAATACTTTATAAAGGTTGTTATTAACTACATATTTTGTAGCTCTTTGATTGAAAATTGAAATTCATTTTGGATCTACTACAAGAGGCCAACAAACACTTTCCTCATTTTCAATTTCAGGGATTTGTGGAGATCGTAGTATTATCCAAGTTGAATTCACGAATCAATTTAAACTAGACCACCAGTGCATCCAGATTTTCACTGGTAGTCTAACTTAGATTGACATTCCTTATTATTTATCACAATTGAAAATGGTTACATTTCTCTAGGTAAATATTAAAAGGAATAAAAATTTAATGGGGAAACAGAATTCTAAACTAAGTTTCCATTTAAAAAATAATGGAACCATTTGTTATTTACTGGAGTTACTTTCAGTTTAATGATCAATTGAGAAAACGTTCATGCCAATCATACCTGTCTTTATTATTTGTTGTACTGATTTTAAAACTGTTGAATTTTATCAAACACAAATTATGACAGTAAAGATTTTAAAAGTTATTTATATTTCTTTATCATATCTCATGACAATCACGCTTAATTTATTTGCAACTGTCGGGACGGATTTCGAAAATCATGATGGAGTCTCCAGAGACCCTCAAAGAGCTGAAGAATTTCCATCCAATCAGAACCTGATGAACCTGCCTAGAATATCAGCGCGGCATGCTAGTAGTAGTAGTATACCTTGCCTCCTTGTGCATTAGCTGAATTATAGCAATGTTATGCTCATTGCTACTAACTATAAATACACAAGTTTTTTTCTGGACACATATTAGTTCTTACCCAACAATCACTTCCCTGTTTCTTTTGTCTTTTAATTTGTGACTGTGGGGTTCTATACATTCGAATGCCGTTAGTTAGATATGGTGTTCTGTGTTAATCAAGTAAAGGATGTAATAGTAACATTTCAATTTCAGTGAATTTTACATATCTTTGTTAAAGTACAAATATTTAGAAATTTCTGTCATACTAATGTCACACTTACTTAACTCTAATTACAATTTATTCATTCTTTTCTTATATGCATAGACTTTTCCAGTTATTTATTTGTGTTAATTTGAGTCCTAACATATTCTGCACTGGACCTTGATTTTATGGTTGATTTCTTTAAAAATTTATGCCTAGATATAAAACAATTATCTCTGAGTTATCTCAATATGTGATATAACATGTAATGATATATGCGATCAGATAACATAGAATTGATTGATTTGTTGAACAATCCTATTACAAATTCCCATTACTCTAAAGCCTGATGACGATCTAATTGAAAACAATTGTTTGCTTATATGTGTTGTTCCAATCATATTACGTAACACTTCATAATTATCATCTGTTTATAATAAATATTCCCTCTTTGTTTAATATTTTTTTATGAATAATTTTTTTTAGAACGTTGTCTAGAAGATGATGAATATTTATTGAATTATTTATCAAGTTGGAAAATCGGAAATGAAAATTTAATCTTTCTTGAAGAACGACATGATTTATATGGTTTATTTGAAAGTCCAAAGGTAAATAAACATTACAAAGTTAATTAAATACTACACTTGATTAACTAACTCATTAAAAAATATTCCAGTTAATTCATTTTGTATTGTTTGTTTAAATCTTCTCATTGATGTTTAAGACTGCAATTTAAACTTCATCCCATTTGTATGAACTAATAACCATTAGGACTTGGTAACTAAAGGGATAATCCTTGAATATCAACTATATTGAAACATTTGACACTGATAATACAGACGTTGTTTAATGTCTCCTATTCACTGGTAGTTTAATATTATAATGGAGAATCTTTAATTCAACATTTTATGTAACTCACGGGGATTTTATTCATTTCACTACTTGTTCATGTTATACCAGTTAGTCGGAAACTATAAATACCTAGAAAATTTGACTGACACCAGCTGTATTATTTTTTAATAATGAATTGAATGAAAATTTACTGCATTTCTTTTTTTACAAGAGTGTTAAAATAATTTACACTTTTGTTTTTTCAATTGAAAATGTTTTCAAACAAAGATGGATAGTAACTAGCAGTATAATCCAGGACTCGCATTTCGTGCTGCTTGGAATTCATCAGTTGGATGTGCCTACATAACAATGTTGATGTTCACTCCGAGACTCGAACCCAGTACATTTCGCTTCAAATATGGGATACAAGTACATGCAGTTGACGAATCCCAAATAGAACGATACATGCATCCTAGACTTCACTGCTAGCCATTATCCATCTTCTCTTATAATGCTTGTGATTTTAGGCAATATCAAGGCAGTTCGCACAGTATGCACATATGTCAATAAGAGACTGATCAATTGCACTCCTAATACAACAATGGGAAAATACGAGCAAACAATACTAAGCGAATGAAAATGTTTTCTATTGAGCAATTATAAAATCATATATCATTTAAATATGAAATGATTTCTAGTATTTTGTCAAAACGATTTTCATAATTGTTTATTAATTAAACACTTTATGCTACTTGATCCTTATTGTACAAACAATTTTTATAATATATCTACTTATAACGATTATCAATAGTTTAAAATCATTATAGGATTGTAACTGATTTTTACAATAACTAATAAGACCGATACGTTCCATTTAGTAGTCTTGTTAACAAAACCAAACGCCACACACATAACAAAAAAACCCACTAGTCCATACAAAAAAAATCTTTAGCCAAACTAGTGTGACTATGAGTTAATTTTTCATGGACAAATGGTTAGTCAGGGATGAAAAAATGAAGGTGAGAAGAAAAATATAATCAATTAAAAATTAATTTAACCATTCATAATATTAAAAAAACATTTGAAAGAGAAAAATATTTTCACAAGAGGTAAATATCAGTAGAATTAATCATGCAAAATCAATCACTAAATGATATATATATAGCAGTTGAGATCATGAGTTAATTGAAGCTAGACCACCATGAAAAACCTGGAAGCACTGGACGGCCGTTTCGTCCTATCGTGAGACTCCTCAGCAGTGCGCATCCACGACCCTGCCTCATGGGATTCGAACTTAGGACCTATCAGTCTCGCTCCAGGCGCTCAACCAACTAGACCACTGAGCCGGTATCCAACGGTGTTAATGTGTAACTTCAACTAATCCACGGAATTGAGCGACACATTCACCATTGTCATCAGTGAGTGACTACCTCACAACTGACCCGGTTGAACTCCACTGGATATATACATATATATATCCATGTTAATTATTTTGAAATTATTTAATAATGTTTATGGATCTTCCTTTCAAAGAATTACATAATCAAAAGAGTTTTATGGATATTATAGTAATTTTAATTGACTCATGATTACAATCATTGAAATTACATAATCATTGAGTTACTAATAGTTAACGATTTTAAATTTTGTCAACACATGAAATACTATGGCTTAGTTAATTTCAATTATTAACGTTTTAAATCAACTGGAAAATGATGTCCACAGTATTTAAAAAACCCAGCAGACTAACAAGGATCAGACTTACATATAATTAATTTTATATCAAGAATTATACCATTAGAAATTAATGAATTGGTTTTTATGTCCAACTTTTGTTTTATTTCATTGAAAAATATCATTGGTAAATCGTTATTATGTTATGAATAGAGTATCCTTTGTACTTTCTATTTAGATTTTCCGTTAAGAATTTACATAATGAATGATTTTAATAATATGATAAGGTTCCTTTTTAAAATATTTTGAATAAATCTTAATATGACTTTACATGTTTGTTATCTTTCATGATAATGCTTTATTTTATTAAAAAATCTGATTGAAAATAATAACAAATCCAAATATTTCCACAGTTGAATTAACGAGTCGATTTAAGTTAAACTACCATTAAGAACTTAGAAGTACTGGATGGCCGTTCATCCCTAGTATGAAACTCCTCAGCAGCGCGCATCCACAATCTTGCAGAATATTAGGTCTCGCCCTGAAACGCTTAATGTCTAGACCACTGTTCTGGTTTTCATAAGTGTTAATGTCTAACTTAAATTGATTCATAATCTTGTACAACCCTTCATCCATTGTCTGGGGTGGATAACTGTCTCACACCTGACATATATTGGACTCCAGTAGTAACGGCTTTTCATTAGAACTCCAGGAGTTCTTTTTTGAAGCCATTCAATTGTGAGTATATGATTATGATCAGTATGGAGATTTATGAAGATTGTAGTATTTTTATAGTTGAATTCACGAGTTTTCACAAGCTGAATAATCTATGAAACCCATGGATTTTTCTCAAAATAGTTGGTCAATCATTAATACTAAAACCCCTAAATTTTTATGACTTCCGCTTCATGATTTAAACTCTAGCCAGTGATAATTTCCATTTACCGAAAAAACCGAAATCCAAGGATATTTGTACACTTTTTTTTTAACCATGTATCATCAAACTGAAAAGTTTTATCCTATTTGACAAGTGGTTAATGAATAAACGATAAAAAATTATGCTGGAAACATATCTCCTGATAGTGTAGTGTATGCTACTTATATTGACATAGGTAGTATATGTTAGTCGTGAACAGAAGGTCTGTCAGCAGAGAGATAAAAAGATAGAACAGTAAAGAATAGAAACAGAATGCAATTTGTATGAAAATGCAAGAACAATGAAGTCTTAGTCATTTTGAGACAATTGGTGAACATTTTGCAAATTAAGCATTTACTTTATGATTGTTAGATTTTATTGACAAATCCTGTAATTTTGTGTTAAATACATTCGATTGTCCCCACTGGTGTTCTTGTTCACTGCAATAGTATTTCAGTTGAAACCACAAATTATTCGTGAGATCATCATCTTTACATAGCGATTATATTTCATTCTACAAACATTTATCCTATCCAGTAACGTTAAATTATGATTTTATAGCTCACTAAACATTGTTTTACATATAGGATAGAAGGAATATGGCTAATAACGGAAACTAGGATGCATGTTTTATCCTCTTAAATTAAACACTCAATGTGCTCGAATTCCAGTGTAAATAGCAACAGTGAAATGAATGTGCATATAGCTCACAAGTCCCAAATACGATAAAATATTGACCATAGATTTCACTACTAGACACAATCCTTCTATTCTAGGTATAGTGTAAAAATTGTTTTCCAAAATAAGTCTATTTTAACTGAATACATCTAGTTTGTCCTTTAAATAGAATGAAAATAAAACAAAATTTTTAGTCAAATTTAAACAACTTCAATAAAGTAATATTAGACTTTATCTACTCGATATACCAATTTCGAACAAATAGACGTACATTATTGACGTCATATTAGTTTCTTGACATAATTCAATAGATTGAAAATGTTCAAAAAATGACAACATAATAGTTGGTTTGTAAATTATAAGACAATTTACAATAGAACCTTTCACAAAAGATCACATCATGTTCCATGTTCACAATATACTTTATAATGTTCAGATATTTTAAACATCAATTTTGTTTTTAAAAATGAAAAAAATAAAATTTTGTTACTACTGAAATAAATAAATAACCTAATAATTAAAGTCTATTCAAGTCACTAGACTGAATAAGATTATAATTAGTGATAACAATACATCAATCGAATCCAAACTATTCATTGACACTTTCAGTCTTATATGTCAAAACTGTCCAGTCTCTACTCCCTCTTCAATTTATCTTGTCTTATATATATGTGGTTCATGAATAAATAAGACTTAATATAGTACTGATTATAACTTGTCTTATTTGTGTAGTCGGTTCATGAGTATGATTTCAACTATTTGTAAGTGTATAGATGTAAACAATATGTCTACCAAATATAAGATTAATTATTGAAATCTCATATTTTTTTCAGAACTGGTTAGGTGAACATCATTCTATATTCAATATCAATTCAAACAAAGTAAGTTATTTAATAATCTTTTTGAATGTATGCTACCTCATATGACTTAAATTCCCTTTTATGCCTACATGAATAATTTAACGATGTGCTTTAGTTTCTTGAATGTCTTTTAGTGAATATAAACAAAAACTCAGTGTATGGAAACATACTTTGTTAATGATGAATTTTGTTCAACTAAGAGGTTTCTAGAGATGTATTCAAGAAGTTGATTAGGTTTTTTTTCCTTAGAACTGACATCATGTAAATGGTCATTGAAAATCAGAACTTATTGAATAGCTCCTTTGTCCTAGCTTAATATTTATGCTCATGGGAAGTCATAATTTAATGGTTTCAAAGGTGTTAGAACTGAAATAATCTACATTGATGGCATTAAATGATTCCTGTTGTATATTGTGGACCGAATGAAACTGGATATGAAATTTGCCAGTTGTCAACATTCTATGAATTTACAGTTTTAAGGATAAAAAGTAGTTCACATGTTATAAGATAAATGAGGTTCATAATGACAGATTGAAACAATATTCAGTGATTAAACCAATTAGAAAGAAACTCTATTAGGTATATGGAGGTTTGTATAGATTGTAAAATGTTGACAGTTTAAGAAATAAGAAAATTCTAACAAGACTATAATCGGAAACCAGGGAGAAATGGACAGTTTTTTAAGAATTTTAGTATGGTATTAATCAGAACTGTGCACTCATAACTCTTCTACTAAGTATTGAACTCAAGACCTCAGGTTTCGCGCGCAAACGTTTAGCCACTAGACCATTGAGCCGGTATCCAGTGAGGAATGTTTCTAACTCTAATTGATTCGTGATATTCCGTTCCTATCTTCTATTAAATGAGGTGAATACTGTCGCACACTTAATATGATCGAGATCCATTAGTAACAGCTTTGCATTAAAACTCCAGGAATTACATCTTAAGAACAGCCTCTAAACAGCATATGATTAACGATAGACATGTATATTATTGTATACCGGTTCATTGGTCTAGAAATTAATCGTTCATGTGAGAGACCGAATGTTCTAGGTTTAATTCCCTGTCGTTGAGTCATGGATGTTCACTGCTGATTAGTCGCATAGTAGGACGGGATAGTTTTTCAACATTCCCTGATTTTCGATTATGTTTTAGTTTAAATCAGCTCGTGAATTAAATTGTGATGAAATTATATGATACAATAATACTAATGCATCATAAAATCTGCAAAGATATAAATCGTTTCATAATTTCGTTATATATAATATATAACTGTTTTCACTGTGATCTACCACATAGATACTCCGAATAATATTGTTTTACCTCTTAAATAAATCCCTCCTTTTTTAAAAATCTCTAACATGTGCTTATTTGTTCAATTCAACTGTCAACATGAATCATAATTTATAGTTTATTAAATGAATAAATGAAATCATTCATTTAATTTAATTATCTTTATGTAGAATATTTTTCATCGAAATGAAAATATCCCAATACCAGTTTATACAGATCAATTATTTTTACGTATTGGACAAACAAAATGGAAAAGAAGATATTGTCATTTGAATTCAAATGGTTTCTATGTTAGTAAACAAAAAATAATAAATGTAAGTCTTTTAAAAGTAACCATATATATATATATATATATATATATATATATATATATATATATATATATATATATATATATATATAGATGGATTACGTAATGATTGAAAGTATAGATGTCATTAAACATTTCAATTTATTAGTTGATTGTTTTGTTTTTTCTTTTTGTTTTAATAGAATAAAAACTTCCGGTATACAATTGACAAGCATGATATGCTCTTTTTATTGAAATCAATTTTCTAGAGTCATTTAGATTTTGTTTGTTTATTTCTATATAATTGATACGTATATACATAGTTAGATATCAAAAGAGATATTCACAAGAAGTTATCTTAGACTTACATTCTCTTTTTTACTGTGAATTAAGATTTTAGATTGAATGTAGTTTCTCACATATAACAAATGTGTTTATCAGGTAACATATTTTTATTATTTTTAAAAAAAAGTAGAATATATATGCTTTATAAGCAAAGATGGATAGTGGCTAGCAGTGGAATCCAGGACGCGCGTTTCATTCACCTTTGCGTATAAAAGCTTTTGAATTAGGGCAATATCGAGGCATACGCATAGTATGCACATATGCCAATAAGAGACTGATCAATTTCAGTCCAAAACCATCAAATAAAACAATACCAAGTGAATTAAATTTCACCCCATTGCACAAGCAAGTGACTATCAGAACTCAGTAGCTATGTGGATAACGCGATGGCGTTTGAAACGAACAGTACTGAATTCGAGTCCCAGAGTGAACATCAACTCAGATGCAGGTACATCCAGCTGACGAGTCCCAACCACGACAAAATGCGCGTCCTGGATTCCACTGCTAGCCGCTATCCATCTTTGCTTATAATGCTTGTAAATTAAGGCAATATCGAGGCATACGCTCAGTATGCACATATGCCAATAATAAGAGACTGATCAATTTCAGTCCAAAAACATCAGTGGGAACATTCAAGTAAAACAATACCAAGTGAATTATATAAGGTTTATTCAACATTATATTTTTGGTACAATATAGAATTCTCAGCATAAAGTATTTCAACAAGTTCACTTTTCTTATATCTTGATCGATTATGACGATAAATAATGAGTGATGGCCAGTTAGATGTCAGGAGTTCGGTAATCCACATATGAATAATGTTCTTTGTTTCAATGCATATTGCCAGCCACCATAATGTTGTTGATTGTACCTTTTTGTAACTCATACAGCGAAAGGTTGTAAACTTTTCATAAACGCACCTGAATAGGTTGTAATGTGCTAAAACAAACAAGAAAACAGATAACTTGACGAAATATCTAGATGGGAGGAACAGGTGGCCCAAATATTCAAGCAGGCCGCCGATTGTTAACGAGAAGTCGTAAACGATGAATATGTACAATTTCAGGTATAAGATAACTATCATATTGATATAAATGGATTATGGTTGTACAATATGGAGAATTAAATGAAATTGGAAATGAAAAACTACTGGTTATCAACTCAATAGTTTAAAAGAAATGTACTTGTCACAAAACTGAAAAATCTAGGTTTGACACTAAGAATGTATGTCAATCAGCAAATTAGTCTTAATCAAACTCGATTTCGGCACATATGTGTATTTGTTCAAATTGCCATACCATATTAGCAGGACGAGGTGAAATTGATAAGATGAATAGAAAAGGGGTTAGAATAAATTGAAAACCACTGATAGTATAAAAACTAAATACTGAGAATAAGCTATTAGAAAAACAAATGTATGAACGGACGGTTACTTGAACTAATGAATTAAGAAAATATAAAGAAAGAATCTATTTACTACACGATGACCAATGCCAGACTTTATTCTCCCGGGTCGCCAACCATTGTTCGCAGTTGCCTTGCATACTCCAGACAGGTAGTCTAATTCCGTCAACACGGCTCAGACCAACCGTTAATAGATTATTTATATTATTCTTGGACTTGTGTTCAGTGGAAAAGTATCAAACAAACTCCACTTACATCAGACCTAATATTGTATTCATAAGTGAACAGTTCTAATGAAATTTTCGCAAAATCTCTATAGTTTCGATACTCAACTTCAAAGTCTGTTCATTGATAAGCTGTTAGTTTATTTAAAAGACATAATATTTGGTTTACAATATTATGGCCAACATGTAGTCAAGTTCTGTGAAATTACCTTAAGACAACAGTAAAATCCGATATATTTTTCTGATTACCCTGGCACTGGCTTTGAGAGTGATTTTTCTAAAAGACAAACAACTGTTGAAACTTAAGAAAACTGAATAAATAAGGAGCAGATCGAGAATGTTTAAGAATTAGTGTAACTTATTTATCAAATGCAGAGTTATGTACTCTCGTTTGAGACACATCTTAAGAAGTGTGTTAGCAGTACCCAATCCCTCAAATCTAAATACTACAAATGAGGTTCAAACCTGACACCTATTGGTTAGTCTCTAAGTCATCGAATCTATTAAATATAATACTTTATATTCACAAATAGTCAATACTATTTTTATTCTCATCCGCTAAAGACCAAATGTCACGGAGAATTAAAGAAAACTAGTATATTTCAAATCAGTTAAACTTTTAATTATTGTTTCCGTTACTTGTTACAATATACAATAAACAAATTGGAATTAATTTTACGGACATAAGAGATTCTCGATGCAATTTATAATGTATTAAATGCAATCAGATGATTGATAGTAGTATATTATTGATGTTTTCTCGTTCTCTGAGTTGGATTTAACCTAGATTTTGATCGGTCTGAAGAATACGCTGTTAATTAAATGTTAAGAAATTTAGATAGCTCATTTCCATCTAAAACTCTATGACAACAATGTTGTCAAGACCAAAATCACCTTTCTGAGCTACATATCTTGATCATCCCAAGAAAATAGTCTTGCAGAATGAAACTTATATTAACTTTTAAGTAACAAATCATTTGTATTTTTACTTATTCTAATTAATTAGCGTTTTTTTTTCTCTCTTTTCTATGCTCACAATGATCGTTTTTACATCAATTGAATGACGTTAATACAGAAATCACCTTTAACACGTTTGAATATATTTCAACCAAATTTATATTTATATATTACTATGAGTGATCAGAATAAAACTGAATATCCTACACCATTTGGTATGGTAGTCAGAGTAAGTATATCATTTTTATAATGGATAATGTTTTCTTCATGAAAACTGATCTATATACAAGGGAATAAAGATGAAGATTGGGTTTCAAAATAAAAATAAAAATGATAACATTCAGTTATGATAGTGGAGGAATATTGTAAACTTATGTAAATTGTTGTAATAAAGTTTTATGTATTTCAAGACAATGTTCAATAAGAACTGACATCAGGTGGAGAGCTCTTGAGAAGCTAGGAAAAATGGATAATCAATTTTTTCCTGATTCAAGGCTTATTAGCTGTGTACATCCGTCATAGGGTCGAATACAAGACAGTCAGAAGTTGATGTTAACTGGGAAAAATTTAGCCAGTGGGGAATAGTCCACAATTTTAACTTCAATTAGTGGAACAGAACGAAAAATGGTTTATTATCACCAATGTTACCTATATTACCTTAAAATTAATGTGATCCGTAATCAAGTAAATATATATCCTGTCACCATCTAACTTATACAAGGCCTTCAAATGAATTCTTATTAGAGAACAGAGAAAAAAATGGAGACTAACACCACTCTAGTAAAATATCAAACACGAAAAGATACAGGATTAAAAAATAGCCTTTGATGTGATTAGAAGGTACTGATTCTCTAGGTTAGTTAACTTGGTCATTAAGTTTAATTTTTGCCTATAATAGCACTGATATTAAATCACGACTTATAGTTTGTCGCAAGACTGTAGATATTCATGTTTATTATAGTTTAAACTGTATTATACACATACAATGAATATAGATCACCATAATTGTAATTCTTTCTAAGCTTCCATTACATAACTGCTAGTAATACACCCACGTAGAGTTTTCTCAGTACCTGTTTTATTATTACTTGTTGAAAACACTCAACCTAGGTATTGTTTTATGTACCGACGGACTTCAAAGATCTATTACAGAAACGAAAACGTATAACCATATTATCTCCCTTTGTTTAAATAGGTAGACTCCAATGAATGAAAAATAAACTTTGATTAGCTGTCAAAGTACTATTGTGTTTACAATATATATTGTACTCTGTTCGGTTGTATTAGATGGGCATATGTAGCTTCATGAAAACATGATCGCATGAAATATGTCGGCTTTTTGCAAAAAATGTATTTTATTAATTCTGTAAAGCTCTGAACGGAATTCTCAAAGGATTAATTTTATTTAATCACAGTTCATTTTGTCTAATTATGTTAAAATGTTTACTTAGGATCTTTTCAAAGCATTTCTTACAGACCCATTGAAAAAGTCTTCATTTATTCCTCCAAGTTTACAAAACATTAACTTCTCTTAACGTTGTGTTCTTACGTTATTTTCAGCCTCATTCAACTCAGCAGGCAGATTCTCGTTTAATCATTGAAATGTGTGCTATCAATGAAGAATCATGGAAGATATGGTATTCCCTACTTCGTATTACTTTGGTAAGTTTCGTATATGTGACAGCTTTCTAAATTCTATTCTATTAACCAAACAACCTGATAGCATGATTACAAATTTAATTAGCTTTACGCCATTCAACCATTCTACTGTAGACACTGATGACGTTTTGTGAAACAACAATCAAACCATTTAAAATGAAATTAATTAGCTTGAAATAAATCTTTTTCATCACATTGACTGCATGAATTTCAAATAACTAAAACCTTTTAAACATAACGACTCAGCAGTTACCATTACCTAACTGTATATTAAGCGTTTTTTTTTTAATGTATGGTATTCTTCAGGTTAAAATAGATTGATTGAGCTAGAATAAACAATCAATCACTTTCATATCGAATATCAAAGTCAATCATCTGGTTTCACTTGTATGAAAGTTTAATTCTAGAAAAGTGTATGTTTATGTCAGAATTCATGAAAACATTTTATATTTGCCAATCAAGGAAACACTCAACAAAGTGATAACAACATGAATATATATATAACTTCATCAGTAGTACTTTCTTACAATATGGAAAGGTAATTCATGAATGTGATTGATTTACATCCAATTTTTATTAAGAGGAAACACTGATTTAAGAAAACCATCGGAAACAGTATACTAATATACAACCAAGTTATTTAAATTAAATGATCCAAGGTAGGCATACAACACAGTGATTGTAATGGAACAGTGGAGTTCAAAGTTTTGACCAGTGTGGTACAATTCAACCCGACTAATATGAATGAAAGTTAAAAATAATTAGCAGTCTCAGAGCTAATTAATATTTATCAGGATTTTCAAGGCATAAAAGATTTTTATAGATTTCATGAAAAAAATATTCTGTCATTATAGATTATCATCAGTTAGGAAGCTATCGTAAACCAATAAGTCTGTTTATATATTTGAACATATCAACATTGGCACAAGAGACCACCAAATCCATATGCTTCACACAATAACAATGAGGCCAATAGTAGTTATCATTGATTTGTGTGAGGGCTGGGATACTGTCTGGTTGTTCAGACCGAAGCAGATGTTTTTTTAAGGGCAACTTTCTGAGCCTTTGACCTGAAGGTCTAGTCCACAAGACAGTGGAGCAACTTTAGAAGATGCAGTCCCATGGTAGCCAATGACCAACGATAGGTTCATACGTTATTTGTTCCCTCAGAATTCTGTAGTCTATATGTACCATTTGTTTGAAATCAGGGTTTTCTAACTCCCTCAGGTGAATCCCCCGTATCCACCAATCCAGTTAAAGCCCTGAATATTCGCTTTTCAAAATGTTAATTTCATAAACAACAGTATTGCCACGAGAAGCCAGTGAATAGGATTTCCTTGGAAGTGTCTGTATACATATGGTCATAAGAGAGCATTTTAAGAGGGCGAGTAATCTCTCTTCACCCTCAACCATACCAGGAGGGCAAGACAGTGATTTCTTTTAATTCGTATCTCATCTGTTATAAAGAGTGACAATATCACAGAAGATTTAAATCAAAACATTCAAATCTCTTTCAAATTACAATATCATTAAATTATTGAATAGTCATTCGATAATCACATTTCCAAACTATCTTTAATTCAAATATCATTAACATCACATTAATTATATTCTATAGGCTAAATGATCAAATCTATTCAATTCCATTATTTTTTAAAAAAAAGGGTATTTATTTCAGAGAAATAAATGAAGTGAGATATTACTATAGTTTTTTTTTTGAATAAATATTCTATCTATATGCTGATATAATATTATTATCCTAATTAAATCATACTCACGCCCAATGAATTTGTTTGTTTTGTTTGTTTCTAATTCAAATAAACGTAAAACTGAAAGGATAATGTAGGTGAGAGAAGTAAAAAAAAAATTCAGTAACTAAATATGATTCAATTAGAATGAGAATAGAGAAATCATCATAAAACTAATTCATTTACTATAGAAATAATGATAATCATAATAATAATAGTAGTAATAGTAGTAGTGATATCAGTAGTATTGAAGTGAAAATCAAAATATAATTGTATATGATTAGTATTATGTCTCAGAACAAATAAAGCATTAAGTTAATATATTGAAATTAGAGATAATATATATTGATTATTTTTTATTATGATTACTGTTAGTATTATATTGTTGATATATAAATAAATGACTGAATTGTCTATTGTCAATATTTACTGAAGCATAATATATTCTATTTTATTCTATAATGGCAAAAACAAAACAAAACTTACAATTAATTGTTTAAAATAATGAGTTTGAGAAATAGAAAAGTATCAGGTCATATTTTTGAGGTAATTGTAAATAAGAAATTAAGATTGAACTCTCTCTTCCGATATATATAGTCAATAATAAGGATATATGGTTGAAAGACTATTGGTAACCAGGTAGCATTGGAAATCCTTCTTGCCCCAATATGGTATTCCTTGGTAGTATGCACTACTAACTTTATCGGTGGTCAAAGCTAGGACCTTCGGGTCTGACGGTGAGCTATCAGTGATGAAAAAATTCTTTGAGTTAAGAAACTTCTGCGATCAATGTTATCCATGATTAGTAAAAAAATCTAACATATTAAAAATAACGATTACATCATAAAAGAAACAAAAAAGGCTGATACAAGCAAACATTATTGTATTAATTTCGCCTTTATACGTGTTTTTATAGCATTCGAAGACATAGAAAACTTTTGTCAGTTTGAAACAAGTTAACTACCTATTAATCTGATGAATAAGACATTATTCTGTGTGAACTAATAAAACAGTAGAAATCAATCGCTCATTCTTAATCAGCTATTATTGTGTTCATGAAAAACATAGTAAGCATAAAAATAAAATAAACCAAGTAATCTTTGAATTCCTCTTGTGTTGTTTCTTTGAATCCTCCTATTGATGTTTAGGACTGCAACTGATTAACCTCTTATATGTGCATATGTGCATGCTGTGCGGATTGCCTCGATATTGCTTTACGTCACAAGCATTATAAGCGAAGATGGATAGTGGTTAGCAATGGTATCCACGATGCGCGCTTCATCAGCTGGATGCACTTGCGTTCCAGAGTTGATATTTACTCCGGGACCCTAGGATGAAGGTACATACGGCTAATGAGTCTAAAATAAAACGAAACGTGCATCCTGGATTCCACTGGTAGCCACCATTTATCTTTGCTCATAAGTAATCTTTGAATTCAGTGTTTAATTTTAAATAAGTTTGGTGCCCTTGGAATTGATGTCTAGATGATTGATTAATCACAGTTGAAAATGTAAGCTGTTAAATCATTTGATGCCAGAACAGTTTGCATTAATAATTTCGAAAAGGATTTGTAGATTTCTATTGACCTCTTATTGATTTGTTTCATTGAACAATTAAACTTTATTTTGCTTTACAGATTGGAAAACGATTATACACAAATTATGTAGTTAGGAAAGACACTGTAAAAATTCACCGTGAGAATTTTTCTCATTTAGATTATTCAATAAGAAATTCTTCCTGTTTTAACTCACTCAATGATAGACCTATATCTTCAACAGTATCGGAATTAGACAATGATCATATATTAGGAGATCTGCATTCAATTGGTCCTAATTATAAAACTAATTCAACTGAAATTGGATTCCCGCCAAAATCGGGTAGTTATAGTGTAACTGATTTAACTAAACCAATACAACTTGATAATCATATGAGTAATGGACATCATCAACAATCGAATGGAGCATCAAGTTTAACAAGTCTTACACTTTATCCAATTCAAACATCATCACAAAAATCAATAAATCGTCAAAGTCGATTAGATAAACAAAATATTAAATCAGTTAAAAAACGTATTTTTGGTAATGGACCATCTGCACGTCGATGTACACGATCTATTAGTCAAATTAGTTCACCATTTAATATTAGTTTACCATATTGGATACGTGCAAGTTATGAAGATAAAGTGAATGAAACATTTAATGAAACAGTATTATAATAATAATAATAATAATAATAATAATAATAATAATAATAAAGTAGTATTATTCATATAAAAAGAGAAAAATAAAAATTTGAAAGTGAATATTGTTTGCATAAATTTTAACATTATGAAATACTATCCATTTTTCATATAAATATGAATGCCCCCTTTTAACTCTAATTCAAATCGTATACATGTCGACTATGATACATTTTCTTATAAATCTATGCATATAAACAAATTATACAAGTTTATAATCAGAAACACTGACTAGAAGTATTTTGGAATATCATTATTTTCTTTCTTTTTTTTTCTCTCTCTCTCCATAAATGTATTGAAATACTTTAATTTTTAATGTAAATGTCATTTTTATACTGTCGTTATCACGTGAAATAGATTTCTCCAAGATTGACTAAAACCTATCAAAAACTATTATTATTATTACTATTACTATTATTATTAATCTGTCTGTAAATATTCAGATCTATGTGCAAATATGTGATTTAACAGAGTAATTTCTATAAAAAGATTTCTTTTGCTTTTTCTATCGAAACATCAAAGATTTTTAACACTAACATGAATATATTACTTAATAAAACTACTTACAATGTAACATTAATAATTATCATTATATATATATATATATAGACCTCCCTTTCAGTGCGGATAAATACTCACACATACATATATTTACCAAATTTTATTAACTATTTTCGAAAGATATTTTTCCCCCTTTGTTTTTGTTGTTTTCATATACTATAAATGAATACTTATTAGAGTTTAATTATATGATAGAAAAATAATGTAATTATGAGAAATTGTTCAACAAGATACGATGTATACATATAAAAGAAGAAGAAACTAATTTCTTTTTCTTTCAAAACAACACATGAACTTATTTTCAGTTGTAATTGTCCCTTGTTTAATATTACCACTACAATTACTTCTTCCAATTCATATAGACTTGAAATGGATTTTTATAATTTGTAAATATAAACAAAAATAGTAACAATGATAATTGATCAATAAATTGAATTATTATTATAATTATTATCATCACTTTTAGTTTTTGAAGTATATTAAATGAATAAAGTGAGTATTAGTTATATGGAACTAGAATTCGGGTATATGCAATTGAGAATTTCTATTAGAATGGAACAAGTTGTTATAACTGTGTGACGGCAGCAGATTACAGGGTAGCGAATTTATCAATCGGACCATAGACGCGCAAACACGTAGAGCGGCCTAGGGTTCTGATTGATCCCGCTTCCTTGTCTAGCCCAGCCAGTTGAGTCCAGAACACAAGTCTCAGCCTCGGATATATGAATCATTATAATTCAAACACACTCTGTTTATATACTAATCAAACAGACCACATCGTACCATAAAATACAAAATAACATTGTACAATATTGAGCAGTAGGAAAATGACACGTGAAATAAGTACTGACCAGTAAGAAAATAATACCATCTCCAAGTCCAAGAATAGCATTAGACTTAATAGAATAATTTTTGGGATATTTTCCTGAATATCCCAGCACAACTGTCAAGTGACTCATAAGAGTGGATCTGTGTGCATAAACTCGACTTCTATGGAAAATCGAATATTATAAACGTAAAATGGTGAGGTGTCCATATATCAATGACAGAAATAAAAGATCGATTGTGAGTAAAATACTATATTCAAATAAATAAATAGGAATAAACTTACAGTAAGCGCTTTAGATTAGAAAACAACAAAATGTAAGGATGGGGGCTTCGATTAGGAAGCAAATCAGTCATTAAAGACTGATTCCAGAAGATAGCTCACCATAAAAGACAAAGAGATGATGGATATTATGACAAGCAGAAAAAATAACTGGAACATAAGGAATATATGTGATAAGTGTTCCGGTGCAACAAAGTGACATCAGTTATTAAAAAGGAAAAATTTAGAGATGAATTATCATAGCATGAATCCCATACTATTAGTAAGTAGTATATAGTAATATACTAAAATATCACGCGACGTTGTTAGGACAGAAAAATAGTAGACCGATTCAGTAGTGATAATTCGTTAACTGATGGAAAAGTTAGCAAATTTGAATTATTTAAAGCTAATATACTTCAATTATTAAAAACTCAAACGTTTTACTTTAATAATACCGATCATTATTCAATATTAACGTTACTATCTTGACTTCTTGTAGAATACCAAAGATACATGAATGATAACCGAAACTATAAAAAACATCAATTATAAAACTGTTGAAATTGGATTGATTATAAACTTGTAAAATAACTTTTTTAAATTTTACTTCAGATTGACGTAGGAGCTGATAATGATAATGGAGATTATGATGTAGTACGTACCGATAATGAAATATTTCCAATTTAGTTATTCAGTGTAAGTAACACAACATTATAAAAGGCATCAATATTCATTGGATAAGTTAATCGCGATTTGGACGTCAATGTTTGAAGTGAAGGTACTGGGTTGAAGTTCTAATGCGAACATCAACATCGATATCAGTAATTTCGAAATATGATCACTGAATTTCGTTATTAGCTAAAATCTATTTATTCTTAAGATTATCCAATAGTTTAAAGAGTTTCTTTTCTTTCTACGAGTTTTACAAGCTGAAAATGAAAAAAAACAAAACAGTTACTCCACTGTAACTCAATAATATGAATATTTCTTGAGGTATTTACTTAGTATGAAATAGAATTAGAACAAAATCACAATAACTTATTTTATTATACTGAAAGAGTATTTTGAAACTGTTACTTCTTTCCCTTGGGTATGTTCAAGCCTACTGATGCCGAAGCTGCTGCTACACTGTTTGTCTTAACCTGCATTTGCTGATGTGTATGTGATAGAATAGCTAGGTCATCTGTGAAGTTCAAATCTTCTAGTTGAATCTAAGCTGTCCATTGTATTCCAGGCCTCTTTTCAGATGTGAAGGTTTTTATAATCCAGTCAGCCATCGGACCAAATAGTTATGCAGTACCCCTAGCTTTATAGTGATAGACTAACTAAAAGCAGTTCATGATTTAAAGTATATTCTCTATTAGTTAAATAAAAGAATAAACAACCCTATTTAGTTACTGACTACATCTATATTGAAATGTAGAGTCACTGAGACTCAAAAAAATTGCCTAGGCAATTCAAATATTCTAGGTCAATAAAAAACGAAAAACGGAGCTGCAAAATCATAAAATATACCTTAAAAATACACAAAACAAAAATACCCGGTTCGATCAATAAAATATCGAGTGAATGAGATCACACTAATACATTGACCTAGAATTATTTGTTCTTATTCAATCATTTTCAAAAAGCGTTTTGATTTATGACACTCGTATAAGTAGACCAAATACATGACTTTTCATGAAGCTTCATTATGATAACGTATGAACTGTATAACTAAATACACATGTTCAATTGAATATGAAACTTACAATTATGCGTAACAAATAGGTTTGATTAATCGACAAATGTTAATATATATTTATATAGGTATATTATTAATACCACCACATATTAATTTTATTTAATAATAGGTAACAATACAATTGTCAATACATCTTTCATCTAATATATGACCAAACAAGTGTAGTGTCAATTGCCATGTTTAGCCCACAACGGGTATTCTAGCTTCCGGACAGGCCAATTTATTCATTCTTCTTGAGTCACATTTTGACCTAGGTAATTATTCGCCTATCAACCTTGACTGTATTATATAGGCGAATGTGTGTGCATACCTTATCCTACTCATCACATGTTTGTAGCTTATTTTTATCTGACTGTAAATATCGATTCACGCTTGATTAAATGGAGTTAGCTCACATACCTTCTCCACGGAGAATCATTTCGTTTTGCTTGGCTTTCCGACCAACGATTGTACGAAATATACATAGTCAAAAATCCATTCTCGTTTTTGGCTTATTTAATTCCATTCTTTGCCAAGGTGAGGTAAGTCACTGATTATATGCAAAGATTGATGATATGTGTATTTCAATAAAAATCAGCATGCAATCCGACTGAAGTCAGATTAAGGGCCACTAAAAGGAAAAATGTGTGGCATGTAATAGAAACACGAACACCTATTGGTATGCAGGTAAGTTTACCAGCCGAATTCAATCGTTGCAAAATTCACTTTAAGGGTAGGATCAAAGCTGTTATTCAATTCACATGAACATAAATGTACAACGTAAAAAGTAAGTCGCTTAACTCAGAATTCCATTCAGTCTCATAATATGTCAAGTATGTCTTCAACGACCAAGCAGTTTAACGCAACCATTTAAAACTTAAACAATCAGATTTCAAATACTTAACACTGAAAATGTCTACCACATTATCCTTTTATTGGATCAAAATTTTTATAATAAATATTTCTGTGCAAGAATATTGACTATTCTGGTCACTAGGATTAGATAAGCTGCGTTCATAAGCCAATGTGTTCTTTGATTGTCACTTCACAATTTAACTGTTAAAATAGTGGAATCGAACACACTATCATCATAAGGGATTAAGAATCCCTGCTACTGATGATTTTCAGCTGACGGATATCAATTGAGGTACAGTCCACTACTAGCTACCTTTCAAAGGAATATATATATATTCCAAAAGAACTTAGTGCAAATATATAAACTACTTAAATAAATACTAAGTAACATAACTATAGATACTATAGTAACAGATATTTAAATGCCTTAAATGAATTTATATACAGTAAAGTTTTATTCACCGCATAGGTATGGTTTCAACGAATAATTTAGACTTTTAAATATAGGACATGATGAGAATTTATTGAAAAGAATATTTTGCGTCTTGATACAATAGGGATTATTTACTGTAAATACCATAAAAATGTAGGCAAATAAATAAAGAAGGCCAACTGATTCATGAAAAGAAGAATGGTCGACGGAGATAAATCACCAAAAAGGAGTCTCTTCACGCCGAACCACTATTTTATTCTCAAAAAGCCGGATAAGTGGGATATAAAGGATCATCACTTGTCCGTGGCAATCAA